TAACACGCCGTCTATACATATAAAATAAAAGGATTTAAAAGCGCGAATGTTTCTTTTATACATAAAACAAACTTCTACTGTCCTTACTGCGATGAAAAAATATATTGGGAGGGCTTGGCTCATCAGTGGTGAACCCTCCCAGCGGTTTCGCCAATTTAATCCACCAGACCGCTTCTCAGAGCTCTAATACTGTATTGGATCATTCTGCTTTTATATGCTACACTGAAGGATGTAATCTTAGAAATGGTTTTCAAGTAAACTATGGACATAAGCTTATAGGACAGTAGCATTACATTTAAATATTTGCTTCGAGCAATGCTCTTCAGCAAACTATAAAGACAAGGCCAGTTAGGCATAAATTAACACAAAGCAATAACGCGCCGTCTATACATATAAAATAAAAGGATTTAAAAGCGCGAATGTTTCTTTTATACATAAAACAAACTTCTACTGTCCTTACTGCAATGAAAAAATATATTGGGAGGGCTTGGCTCATCAGTGGTGAACCCTCCCAGCGGTTTCCCCAATTTAATCCACCAGACCGCTTCTCAGAGCTCTAATACTGTATTGGATCATTCTGCTTTTATATGCTACACTGAAGGATGGAATCTTAGAAATGGTTTTCAAGTAAACTATGGACATAAGCTTATAGGACAGTAGGACAGATTTAAATCCTTTTATTTTATATGTAAAGACAAATAAGTACGGGGGTTGGTTGGTGAAGAGTGTTCCATTTTTGACACCATGGCCAGGAATCACATTGAGCACCAAATGGGGGCTCTTGTGCAAAAGTTAAAACAAAAGTTTATCTAAAACAGAAAAACACCTCCCATTTGATAAGCAAACCACCTCCCTGAAGATTGGTCCAATTATGTCCAGGAGCAGCCTCACAAGTGGTGAGGTGAAGAACACAATCATTACTTCTTGCTTAGCTCCTCCACTCAATCAGCTTGTAGATCCATCATTACTTATGATGATGGACTTATACCTGAAGGTTACAATTTACTGATTCTGTTCCTTGAAAAGAATGGTCATCTCACAGTGATAAAAATACAAATGGAAAGGAATTTTGTCTTCTTTTTACTTATAGTTATCAATAAATGAGGGGAAAAATGAAGATAGTACAGTAGAACCTCCCTGTAAAGGACACCTAATTGCAGAGCCAAAGTGTCCTTTAGGGAGAGGTGTCCTCCTACTGGAGAGTTGCTAAATTGTACAAATTGTAATTTTGCAAATGAAAACTGTCTTTTGTAGAGAGATGTCCTCTAGCTTGAGTGTCCTCTCATGGAGGTTCTACTGTATATTATGTGCTCCTATAGAATGGTTAAAATACTCAAACACCTGAGATCCTCTTTACCAGTTTCATTATTGTAATTCCTATTCAAACAACATATAGGTGTCTTCTTCTTCTTTCTTATCTCCACTCAATCACACTAAGGTATCAAGCTTGTAAAGCTTGAGACTTTTGATGGTGTCTGCCGGGGAAGAGTAGAGCTCATCAATGGATGAGTCAATACAGTCAATAATATGTCTTGGGGTTGCATGCTGAGAATTGCACTTAGTACATAGTGGGAAGACCCTGCGACCATTCTGGAAAGTCATTGTCCGTAGATGACTTAAGTCTGGAAATTAAACACTGTTGTTACATACAGGTGTGACAAGCTATACTTATGTCAAGTAATTTAAAATTGATATCACAGAGCTATCTCTCAGAGTGGAGGATGAAATATATTGAGTAGGCTGACTCACCAGGGATGATTCATCCCAACGGTTGGTTTGACCACTTTAATCCAATTCAAGTCAGCCTCCTAAGAAGAGAGGTAAAATTAATACTTTATATAGTTTCTCTCTCTCTAACAACACCTGTTCCTGGGATCCATCAAGTTTTGTAAGAAGTCTCTGTTCCAGCCATTCCTGGAGTAGTGTGCTCTTTCTCAACATTCCCAACTTCCAAATTGAAAATTATTTGTAGGAAAAAAGTCAATAATGTCACTATGCCTCTCCTTTATTGATAAGGTGCAATTTGGATTATAGATTAGAAACACAAGGTAATAATTATATCTAAAAAAGAGTGTTTTTTCCACTTCTAAGAATAAACAAAAGGTAATAAGACCGATTCCAAATAGTGTGTGACGTTTCGGTAACAGCATTGTTACTGAAGCCTCACACACTATTTATTTATTTGGATTTAGTCATATTACTTTGTGTTTTTCTATCCTTAATTGGTTTATATATTTTTAAGGTGTCTGTATTATTCACCTGCTGATCAGCTACTCTCCACTCTGAACTACCTCTTGTAAAGTACAACACCAAGTTGCAGAGTCAAAGTGTTGTCTTTTAGGAGGATGTGTCTTCTTACAGAAGAGTTGCTCATTTTTTATACCTTAAAACAAAAAAATTCTGTATGAGCATTAAACATATTATATCCTCCATGTTTAACACTTAGTAAAATCTTCTTTCTTCTCTCCACTCAATCATATTAGGGTATCAATGGATGAGCCAATACAGTCAATGATGTGGTTTGGGGTTGCAGGTTGAGAATTGTACTTAGTACATAGTGGGAAAACCTTGCAACCATTACTTAGTAAAATGGTTTAGTAAACTAGTAAATATCATTAAACATATTGAAAATGAATATTACCTTTTATAATTAATATAATCATTGTTCAACTCCGATTTTCTGAAAATGGAAATATTTTGCTGTTCACAAGTCTTGTTTGACTTCTATAAATGAAGATAGGCTTTAGCATCACATGGTTACAGCGTAAATCTCTTTCTAAATTTTGGTATCGACAAAAGAACAATAGTAATCAGCAATTGATAAAGCACAATTTGGATTATAGATACAAGAAAATAAGACGTAATCCAAATAAATTAATAGTGTGTGTTTTGGTAACAGCGTAGATTCTTTTGTCTGATGATGGCAACACCGCTGTTACTAAAATGTCAAACACTATTAATTTATTTGGATTAGGTCTTATTTTCTTGTATCTATAATCAGCAATTGTTTTACATGTGCATTGCAGAACCACATTAAGTCATTCAATTAGCATTTTGCCCCTGAAATATAAGCATTTTTGTACTGCCTTGGTATTTTTGTGTTTGGCATATTTAAACTCGATACTCTCTTTTTAAATTTTGGAAATGTGCACCTTACTAGAAGACATTTCATTCACTATCAGACAAACACTATCCCCATTTTTCAACCTTTGAATAACCTTAAATCAATCATGAAGATCAATTTTTAAGTTTTATAAACACAGACATTTATATAAATTTATCTATCAAGTTATTAGGAATAAAATATATGCACACATTTTAATAGAGGTTTTTAAAAATTATGAACAGACTTTAATTTTGACTTATGGTAATTTTTTATTTGTCCGCTAGCTGGAATGTCCATATATAGAAAATTGATAAATAGGCCATTGGAAAAAGGTCTGTTGTTTGGAGGTGTCCGCTAGAGCGAGAATACAATTTCAATGGGAGAGCAATTTTAGTAACTGTCTGTTGTTTAGAGCGCGTGTCCGTTAATGGAAGTTGTTCTACTGTCCATGCATTTCCTTCCTGACACTAGTCCCACATGCCAAGGTACAAATTCTACATTTTATTGGTCTCTCTGGCCAAATATGGCACAGATTTTCTGGCCCAATGTTTTAAAGGTAAAATAAATACACTCATGGAGACTAAATTTAAGGAAGTGGAAAGTCTTTGATGTCCGCTGGTCATCTATTATTTTGAAGTAAACAGACAATTTTGTTCATACTTGGTTATCTCGTGTGTCTTCAATAAAGGTCAATGTGTATCTTTCAGAGTTATTGTATGAATCCCGATATACATGCTAAAAGGTACAGCTTCTGTAAGTTTTGTCCATGAGTGTATCTTTCAGAGTTATTGTCTGAATCCCGATATACATGCTAAAAGGTACAACTTCCTTAAGTTTTGTCCATGAGTGTATCTTTCACAGTTATTGTCTGAATCCTGATATACATGCTAAAAGGTTCCGTAAGTTTTGTTTACAAGTGTTTATTAATCAATCTGGAGCCAAGTATAGTTGCTAAACTACAATTCACTACTATCTAGGTACATCTACACACATAGTGTGGAGTATGAAGGGTTGTCATGGTCTGTATTCTGAGAATGCATCTCCTATCTACACCTGTAGAGCAGCTTGACTTTACATAAAGAAGGTGACATTGATAGATTACTTGCATGGAGAGACCGGCTCTTCTCCCAAATTTCTTTAATCTCTCAACTCTTCACTCACTGGCAACCCACATTGTGGAATTTGCGCCTTCCCATTTCTTGAGTTAACGCACCAATAATATGATACAAGAAAATAAGACCTAGTCCAAATAATTTAATAGTGTGTGATGTTTCGGCAAAAGCATTGTTACCATCATTAGACAAAAGAATAAAAATTCTTGTATCTATAATCCAAATTGTGCTTTATCACAGCAATAATATGCTAATGACAGTGGCTGGAATCAACAGTCCTGTGTCTAGACAATGATGTAAAAATAAACAAGAAAGATGATATAAATCAATTTCCTTTGTAATTCAACAACTGGGGTCTCTTATTTCACAATATCAGAATATGATAGGTTGCCATTGTGTTTTAAAGAGGAGACTGAAATCTGATAGCTGGGCCAGTAACTGGCAGCTCTCAGCTAATTGTTAGTGATGATTTGAAATATGTCTGTGGACATACAATCTTTCTAATGCTGTTGTTCCACATTTGGTCACTTCTCCTAATTGGATTTTCAGGAAAAAATGACTTTTAGAGCAATCTGTCATTGCTTATAGTCCACTAGATTGTTGTCCATTAATTTAGAGAAATATTCAAATATCCTCATTTTTGTTGGTGGTGAATCATCCACATTCTGTTGTTCTCATACTCCAGCTAGATCTTCTTTAACCTCATAGTAGAAACACAAGGTAATAAGACCAAATAAATAAATAGTGTGTGACATTTTGGTAACAGCATTGTTACCATTCCTACGGCCATACCACATTAATAACACCTGTGCTCATCCGATCATCCAAGTTAAGCAATGTCTGGCCCGGTCAGTATTTGGGAGGGTGACCACCACCTGGAAACACCAGGGTGCTGTGGTATAATTTCTCATTCAGTACTTTTGTCTGAGGATGATAACAATGCTATTACCAAAACGTCACTCACTATTTATTTATTTGGTCTTAAACTCAAGATAATAAGACCAAATCCAAATAAATAAATACTGCGTGACATTTTGGTAACAGCATTGTTACCATCTTCAGACAAAAGTACTGAATGAGAAATTATACCACAGCATGTTTTAAATAGCTACTGTTATTTATTTATTCGGATTTGGTCTTATCACCTTGTTTCTATAATCCAAATTGTACTTTATTACACCTCATAGTAGTCTTGTGGCTGACAACATTCACTAACTGGTTGACTGCACCATTAATGTGGGTTTATAGCAACTACACTCTAGCTTCATTTGCACAAGTTTCTCAACCTGAAACTCCAAAACACATTATTGACTGTATTGACTCATCCATTCATGAGCTCTACTCTTCCCCGGCAGACACCATCAACAAGCTTTACAAGCTTGACACCCTGATATGATTGAGTGGAGATAAGAAAGAAGAAGATTTGCACAAGTTGGTTCTCTCTTGTCTCATACTCTCTTAGGATTAGATGGTTTGCCATGTGTGATTTCACTATTCTGTGTTCTCTTTATATGTTTCATCTGTTTCTCACACACATTGGGTCAAAATATCTTTTTACTAATTTATCAAGTCCTATGAATGATTAGAAATTTGAAGTTATTTTTGGATTGAGAGAAAAAATTATGTTGACTAAAGTAAAAAAATGTTTAAAGCATTTTGTAAAAGTATTTGCAAAGTGCATAAATGCAAAGTTGATCTAAGTTCCAAGAGTTTGGTTTTATCATTCACTAAAGTAATGGATCACCACCACCACCACCTTTGTATAATAAAAATGGACTGAAGGTAACCCAACTTGGATTGACAGACCAGGGTGTTATCTGTTTGTTTTCTGGTATATATACAGTAGAATGAGAGGACATTCACGCTAGAGGACACCTCTCTACAAAGGACAGTTTTCATTTGCAAAATTACCATTTTTTACTATTTAGCAACTCTCTGGTAAGAGAACACCTCTCTCTAAAAGACACTTTAGCTCTGCCTGTCCTTTACAGGGAGGTTCTACTGTATATCCTAAATTCAAAATAGCTAAAATATAGATGAAATTGATAGGTAAAAAAATACATGAAATAAACTCCATATTAGAATTATTTTTTATCAGCTTTATTATATATCCTTGACATGATTTTTTGTAATATGGAAAATTAAAAGTGTTAAAAAATAGCTAAATCCAAGAGAGAGCTAAAATTTACACATCTGTACAGCATTGTAACTTATATCAATATAGGTGAGTGATGTAGGGGGTTCAGTTAGAGATAAAATTGCGAGGCCAGATCCAAATAAGATATTTATTTGTGATATGTCAGTAACAACGCTGTTACCAAAACATTTTGGGGTAAAGATAGAATTACTATAAGACTAAATCTCTATGTGAGCTACACAGTATAACTTTTCTAACTTACAGCCAACTCTATAATCAGATACACACCATAATAAACCTTTTTTCTTAAATCCTGACCACTTCCCTTTCTAATCGCCATCTTTAGTTCCAGTTAAATTAAGATGTTAATTTGCAAAGAAATTGATTTTAATAAATTCTAGTGTATAGAATTAATTGTCAATTGAACTTTTTATAGAGGTTATACACTGTAACACAGCATGGTTACCATCATCAAGTACTCGGTGTCTCTTAACGAAGTACTTTGGTGTCTGGTGACCACGCTGTTATCAACATGTTAGATAGTAGATTACCTTTTTCCAATGTATATGTCTTGTTACCCTGTGAATGTCACCTACCCACTATACACTCATGGACAAAGCTTATGGAAGTTTCATATTTTGTTCTCGTTGGTCATCTATTTTTGTTTGAAGGAGACAGAGACAATTTTGTTGACACTTGGTTATCCCAGGTGTCTTCAATAAAGGTCACTGTGAGATTTTTTCAGAGTTATTAGCTGAATCCCGATATATATGATTTTTTTTTTTTTTGCTTATCCATAGTACATGTGGTACAGGCCATGATAATCATGGTGGGTAGAAGTATGTGACTGCTTTTACTGTAAGTGCACTTACAAATATGCCAGAGCACCATTTGGTTACTTGCACTCACTGGTGGGATTAGACTTTTGCAAGAATCGGGGGCCATTGGAGCACTTTTTTTTTTTAATCAGAAAAAAGTGCCCAATGTGGGAATCGAACCCAGGTCGTAGCGGTCAAAAACCAATAGTTTAGACCATCCTTCCACCGATCCCCTGATATACAGGATAAAAGGTACAAGTTCCTTAAGTTTTGTCCATCCTATATATAGAGAGAGAGAATGACTCAAGTACAAATTCCATATCACAGTACAGAGAGATATAACCCACTCTTTGTAGATTACACACACAACATCTATAGAAGATAACACATAAAAGGCTATACTCACTATACTTGAGGTAAAAATGTGTATAGTGTTTGAATAAACAAGTAAAATTATTAATCAAGTAAAATAAGTGAATTGTTAAAAATATATAAATTTTCTTTCTTCAACTGCCATATTTAATGTTTTAGGTGGGTATTTACCAATGATCTATTAGCTAACTAATAGAGGATTAGTTAGAAGATGGAGAATATTTGTCCATAGTGTGTGTCAAACTCAACTTGATGGATGCTAACAACAACTAATGATCAAATTAAAAAGATGAGAGAATTGTGGGGGTTACTTCTTACAGAAGTCAAGCAAGGCCCTGAACTAAGCTAGTGTCCCTTTAGTATCTCTCTAGGAATGATGATAAATACCTATATACATTTTTCTCCCCATAGCTCTAGACCTATTAAAATTGCAACAATCTCGTTGGCTGCAATGATAGACCAATCAAAGGTTGGGTAGGATGTCTCTTTTATCTTAAATGCACTATGGGGCCTATTTCACCCAGAACCATGGGAATCTATGTGTTCAAATTTGTCCTGCACACTCACTCAGTCTTGGGTATTGTTGGACCTCCTTTCTTCCCGAAATAGATCACTGCAGTATATTCCAAGGCCGTTCCCCTCACCACCTGCGTGGCCAGTCAGTGTACTCGCCCTCTACTATGCCTCTGGATACTTCACGTTATATCAACTAAAGCCCATCATGTAGGCACATGTTTAAAATGACATTTGACCCTTGCACTGCTGTTGTTCTCACGTATAAGTATAAATATAAAAGGAGAGTGATGAATAACATCTCTCTTTGATAAAGATGATCCTAAACACATGGCGCAAACAGCCATTCTACTTTTAGTTTGAGAAATAGCTTAACTAGTCCTATTTTTGTGCTTTGATTTAATGGTATTCACTTTTTGGTTCTAAGGTCATTGGTTGATAGAGGGTGGCTCTGAATAGGCGAGAGTCAAAGTCGGCTATTTCACTGCGATGTGACATCTCTATGAATGATGGGTTGTTCAAATAGATCTGCCCTTTTTACAAAAACGATTTAAAAAATTACAGCATGTTGAATAAACCGTTTGGTGAAAGAATGGTGCTTGTAGAAAGCTGCGAAAAAGGTCGATTTTAAAGTATATCTTTAGTATTTTTCAAGTAACTTTAGTTGTTGAAACAAAGGTCTCTCTGTACGCGCGTAGTTAAGAAAAACGCGAATTAGATTAAAATGTATTTACTATAGCTCCTGATACTAACCATATTTTCCTTAACGCAACAAGATCGATGTTTAGAGAAATACAAACTTCTTCAGAAATGCGATCAAATTGAAAAAGTCCCCTTCCAAATTGTTAAATCTATAAAGAGCACAAGTATAATTTACTATATCAAAACTTCTCTCACGCTAGGAAATACTTTTTTTTTCTGTTTAGAACGGCCTTAGATTTTGGTTTCAAAGAAACTTTATTTCTGTGCAACACTCAGATTATTGTTTTCTCCCCGTTCCTAGGTGTGGCCTTTTATTTCACGGAAGCTTCACTGATCCTATAAACGGCGTTTTAAACTCGGCGATTTTACAACTCCCTGTATACTGTCTACTCCGTTCAAACCCGCTCACTACCCAACCTGTCTACCGCCGGTATTGTAGAATTTGGATAGGAGGAGCTGTCTAGAGGTGTGTAACTTCTCCAGAGGAGATGGTAGACAGACAGGTTGTTGATGTCCTACAGCGTAGATATGGGTGGCGGATCATTCAGAAAGTTGTGTCATCCAGATAGTGGTGACTTGATTAGATCGACATGTACTTTTTCCCTTCTCTCTCTTTTGCCCTGATAAGGCAAGGCCGGCCGGCCGTCGAGGGAACTTCTCCCGTTACTAGCACTGCGTAGCTTTCTAAGGAAGTGAGATTGGACCTCCATCCACGTCTCTAGAACTACTTGGAATTATAGCGGTGTGTTTTTTTCCATGGGTTTCTGCGGTGTTTTACTATGCGCTAGTTTTCTTAATAATTTGAAGTTTCTTTGTGCGCGATATAGAAAGTATTAATGGTTACGTCTTTCGTTATTTGACCATATTCTCACTTTTTAACTTAATTTTATGACTATCGAACGTGTGACGTAGTTTGATAGGTATTGCTTTCTTTTGTTTCTTCTCGTGAGAGCCATACAAGTTGCCATTTATAAAAGAATAGTATTCTGCAAGGATTTTTAAAAAAGGTGGAACACGTTAGCAGAATGCAAGAATTTGGATCACTTCTGTCAATCTCAGACTTTAGTGTGTGAGGATAAATACATTTTGGGATATTTCTGTTATCGATAGAGGCGATGTTAGGTCGAACGTTACCTCTCCAGGGGATATACACAGTAGGCAGAGAGTATTGTAGAGACGTCTCTCTACACACCTGGGTAGGTGAGCATCGCGATCCATCTTGGTCACTTTCTGCATATCTCTTCGGCATGAAGGACAATATATAGCCATGGTTTTATCATTAGTTAATCCACGAAACACGTAATTTTTAACCTATCGAGTCTAGGATGCGATTAAGCCCAAACAGGCATACCTGCTAA